GGCTGTGCTCCGAGGGGCGCCGGGGCGGGTGGGGTTGCCCGGGAAGGTCCTGGAGCAGCAGGGCGGGAAGGGTGCCCATCGTAGAGGACATCCCGCTTTTCTGCTACTCTGTCCTCGATGGATACGTCCTCTATGTCCTCTTGTTTTTCTCAGCGAGAGCGCTGGTGCCCCCTGAGAGCACTGGCCGAGGAACGTGCCAGGAGAAGCGGTGCTGCTGCGGCCGGTCCCGCTGACCCAGAAGTGCCAGTTGCGGGTTGGCAGGACCGGCCGCTGCAGGGCGGACCCTCCCCCCCATTCTGCAGGATCAGCCACAGCGGGACCCCCCTGCCCCCCCGGCCTGCAGGATCCTGACTCAGGAGGCACCAGTAACCCATGCCCTGGGTCGTGAGGCAAAGTGGGTCGCAAGACCATATGAAAGGATTTGGGAACAAACTTCAAAAATAGATGCTCCTTTTAAAGGAGAAAAACATGGAAAACTCTGGGTTTTTCCTTGCAAGGGGCTGCTTGCTCCCCCACCCCACCTCACACAGAGGAGCTGGCGGCAGGGACTGGCCATCCATGTTTACAAATGGACAGGGTTTGAATGACACTGACTTGGTGGGGTCTGCAAAAAAAATATTAAACCAGTACATTGATTAAAAAATCCACTTAAGTGAACGTGTAATCCAATCAAAGACCCCCCCCCCCCCGTTATGATTTTCAAATCTTAGAGGGACTCTTATCTCTTGTGGGGCAGCCCCCCTGAGCTCCCCCTTAATTCACATCCTGCAAGTGGGTCCTGGTACAAAAAAGGTTGAGAACCACTGACCTAGGCCAAGCCCCTGCCTGAGGCAGCACCATCCCTATCCAAAGCATCGTAGACAAGCCCTAATCCAAACTTAGTCCTGACACAAGGCAGACCCAACACCCTGACCTGCCACAGGGAAAGTAGAGGGACCTGAGTAGCCAATGTCCCACTTTTCTAGAAAGCTGTGAATATGCACTCAAAGAGATCCTAGGTAGAGAGCCATGTGCCCCACTACAGGGGAAGGTGGTGCTCTCCCCTACCTTGGGCATCTTCAAGAGGAGACTGGACAAGCAACTAGTTGGGGTTGTCTGACCCCAGTGCTCTTTCCTGCCCAAGACAGGGGTCGGACTTGATGACCTACTGAGGTCCCTTCTGACCCGAACATCTGTGAATCTATGAAGCCCCGCCTCTCCCCACCTCCGGAGCTTGTACCAAGCTGAGCCATGAGGTAAAATTCCTTCCTGACCCCAAATATAGCTATCGATCTGAGCCTGAATAGGGGGCCATGATCCTATAGCCCAGGGTTTCTCAACCCACGGGTCACAACCCAAAAGTGGGTCACAAGAATATATGAAAGGGTCATGAACAAAATGGATCAACAAACTTTAAAAATGGATTCTCCTTTTAAGGAGAAAAATGTGGGAAACCATGACTTTTCCCTTGCAGGCTGGCAGAATTCCAGCCTGCAAGGGGCTGCCTGTCCCACACACACCCCACCCTGCCCCACCCTCTGCCCATACATTGGAGGGCTGGGGACAGAGGGCAGCAAGTCAGGAGTGTGGGGCACTGGGTCAGGACTGGCCATCAATGTTTACAAATGGGCCCTGGTACAAAAAAGGTTGAGAACTACTGCTCTAGCCCAGCATTTCTCAACGCAGGGGTTGTGACAGAAGTGGGTCACAAGAATATATGAAAGGGTTGCAAGTGAACTTTAAAAATGGATTCTCCTTTTAAGGAGAAGAATGTGGGAAACCATGGCTTTTCCCTTGCAGACTGGCAGAGCTTCAGCCTGCAAGGGGCTGCTTGCCCCCTCTCCCCCCCTTGCCCCATTACCACCCACCCCCTGTCCCACACACGGAGGCTGGAGACAGGGGGCAGCAGGTTGGGACTGGCCAACGATGTTTACAAATGGGTCCTGGTACAAAAAAGATTGAGAACCACTGCTCTCAGCAGGACCTTTCTGCTTTTAAGTCCCAAGTGGAACACTGGCAAATAAGTATGAGTGAGTTGGACCTGGAGGAAGGTAGGTGTTGGCAGGAGTTGAGGCACTCAGTAGGCAGAAGGTGGGTAAAGCAAAGGTTTTTGGGAAGACAATGGGAGGAGAAGGAAAGCAGGGAATGGAAGGTGAAGGAGGCCAAGGGGCTCAAGAGAAATGGAAGAGGGAAGGGAGCTTGGACACAGAGTGAGAACAGGAGACTGAGATAGAGGAGGAAGGAGTTAGAGCTCCAAGAGAGAGCATGAAGAAACTGGAAAGGTGAAGAGCAAGAGGCACGAGCTCCAGAGAAAATGATATAAAAGGGGAAAGGAAATGTAAGAGAGACTGAGAGGAAAACAGGGATTTTATCAGAGCAAGGAGGGCAGAGTGAGAGGTGGGTAGGAAAGAGAGTCTAAAGTAACGATTCTCAAGCAGAGTGCCTTGAGATCTTTTCAAGGGTGCCACAGGATGCCATGCAATGCTAGCACTGTTAGGGGAACAAACCTGAATTGCAAGATAAACCCAGAGATTTCAAATAGGAATCCACAGTGTTACCAACATTCTGATCATTGTTTTTCAGTAACTTCAGCAGTGGTTTTCCAGACATATCCAGCAAATAAACAGGAGTATTATCCCTACAGGGAGAAAAAGAAAGAATTCAAAGGGGAATGCTGATTATGCAGACCCAGCTGCTCTGTGTGGGATTAGAGGGCTGCTCTGTAGCAGAGGCTCAGCTAGGCTCAGTCCATAGCAGTGGCTCAGAGCTTGTGCTGAGGTTTTCACTAGTACTCAGAGCAGCACCCTGCAAATGTATGCGTTTTTATCCTTTACATTTTGTTTTCTTCCAAGGATCACTTGTGCTTATTAGGAAATACCTATCCAAAGAAATGACACTGCAGCCATCAGAGAATCACTCAGTTGTACAAATTAGAGGAGCAGAGAGGCTGGGAAACAGCCTTGAATTACAGCCCATGTTCTGATCCTTGCTATTCTATCTAATCTAGCTATCTATTTATAGATAGGTGTTGTACCTGAGCTCCTTACAGTCTTCAATTATTTTTATCCTCACAACACCACTGTGAGGAGAGGCACTCCTTATCCCCATTTTACAAATGAAGAACTAGGATAGAGAAAGTATGTCTGTCCCATATCCATACTGGATCTGTCCATATGGAGAGTGAACGAAGTCCTACCCATGCTAGGTCCTATGTCTACCCAGGCTAGGTTTAATCTTGCAAGCACAGAGTTAAAAACCAGCGAAGATGTAACAGTGTGGAATTCAGTAAAGGCTAACAACAAAAGCATCTGCCTGGGATCCCCAGTAAGCTGTGGTACCATTGTTACACACATTGGCTAGATTTAATTTAGCATGGGTAAGAAGAGTCAACTCTTAGTGTTCACTCAGTTTTTGCTACAGAAAAATAGCAGAGCAATTCTTCTGCTGCAGAGAATTCAGAAAGACCACAATAGAACAGAATGTTTTCAATACCATGGATTCCTATTTAAATCTTTGGGTTTGTCTTATGAATCATGTTTGTACACCATGGGCGCATCTCCATGAGTGGGAGCATGCCTTTCCCCCTTGGACAAACAGCAGTGGCATAATATGTGCCATTGGTACTTGTCCCCAGGGAACCCCATGCACACGTGCTCTGGCACACAGCCGTTGCCCTGGGTGGGGGAGGGAAGGCTAGGGCCGTCATCCTGGGCTGGCCCCAGCAGCCTTACTTGGAGTCCTGGGGCCACCAGGGGCTGCAGCCATGGTGATCCTGCAGCAGGAAGCCTGGCCGGCAGCTGGAGTGTGGCTGCAGTTGGTCAGGCCCCAGTATCAGGCAGCACATGCTGCCACCACATGCGCCGCTCCACTTTTTTTGGGTGTGGGGTTTTTTGACACTGAGATCTCCGGGTACAGGCATTCCCTGGTGCAGGTGCTAACCAGTACGTACAGGCATTACCCATACTGCTAATTGACAGCATGGGGGGTGTTTTTGACACTGGGAGATCCTGGTGTCAAAAAACCCCCTCACACTGCCAATTAACAGCATGGGGAATGCCTGCATGTAGAGCAAATGCAGTATGCAGTGCTGCAGATGGGTCTGCGGTGCCACATACCACATGTGCACACTCATCTGGATGTGCCCCTGGAGTGATAATACTGCATCCCCCTTAAAAGGATCTCAAGGCACTCTGGGGTGCACTGTCATGCTAGTTAATAATCACTGGCCCAGTGATTTGGCTGTAGTCATACAAGAAAGTCTGTGGAGGAGCTAGGAAGTGAATCCTGATATCCACAGCCCCAGGCTATTTGACATTTGCCTACTTTGAACCAAATTTACAACCAATTTGCATTACCTGAACTAGCAAATGTATATGGGAACTTATTTATGAACATGCAAAACTAAATGCAATGATCTGAGTAATTAAACAAATCTCTGAAACAAGCTGTTCAGGGTTAACATCCCTTATGCAAAATACCTTTTGATTTCAAAATCTGTGTTGTTATTGCTTGTTCCTACTGGAACAACCTGCTGAATCTAAACATTTCACTCAATTATTAACTTCTGAAATGTAATTCTTTCTTCTGTTTGTTTTGCTTTTGGAGATTAAATATACTTATTCTTTAATACTGTAAATACTGGAACATATGGGTAATGGAGCATATCTTGTTTTGCAGGCATCTGAAAACTATGTCTGCATTTGCAGGCTTAGGAAAAGAAGAAAAAGAAAAAGTTGTTTTTATATCATCATGGTGGGAAAACTACAAGAAAACCCATTTGGCATATTGCCAGCAAAAGTAATCTTTGAAAAGTAAATGGAGAGAAAGGGAATTATGTCAATATGTTTTGTAGTACTGTCCTAATATAGCAGATCATTCCAGTATTTCAGAGGTGAAAACAGGGCTTCTTCAAAGTCAACTGTAAAATGTTACTAACTCACAGTTTCATAGTTGGCAGGGGCTGGAAGTGAACTTCAGATCAACGGGTCCAGCCCTCCTGCACTTGGGCAGGAAAGACTGCCAGGATTAGATGACCCCAGCAAGATGGGCATCAAGACGCTTTTAGAAGATCGCCAGGGTGGATGTCTGTACCACCTCTGGGGGAAGTCTGTTCCAAACCCTCAGCACCCAACTTTTAAAGAGGTTTTTCCTTATGTCTAGCCTAAAGCAATCTTCAATCAGTTTATGCCCATTATTTCTTGTCCTGCCCTGGGGGGCCTTGGTGAATAGATGCTCCCCCAAGCCCTGATGTATGCCCCTGATATAGGCTGCCACCAAATCCCCTCTGAGTCTTCTCTTCTCCAGGCTGAACAGTCCCAAGTCTTTCAGCCTCTCCTCATATGACTTGGTATCTAGAAACATGTTAAAGAGCACTGGTCTGGGTACTGAACCCTGGTCACCTTCTGCCGTGATGACTCATTTCTGTCAGTTGATACCCTTTGGGTCCTGCCATGGAGCCAGTTACCTAGCCACTGGACTATAAAGTTGTTGAGGCCGCATTTTCCCAGTTTAACCATGAGTTTCCCAATTTAACTCAGTCAAAGACAGGAAACACTTCAAAAACTTCAGAATAAATCCTTTTCCACTATACACTGGTGACAGATAGGGGATACACGTGCACTCCCTGAGATTGGCAGTGCACCCCCTGAAAGAAGCGCTGTCGATGCTGCCGGTGGTGCCTTCAGGCAGTCGCTGCTCACCACCTCTCCCCCTCACCTCCAACACTGCCGGTGGCATCTGCGGGTAGTCACCGACCACCAGTTGGTGCTTGCCACCCCCCTACCACTGCCACCACCTGCAGGCAGTCGCCATGCCCCCCCAGCCTCCAGAGGCATGCGTCGTTCATGCCACTATAGGAAAGACACATCACTGATAATCCATGTATCCCTAAACCCTTAAAACATTAACAAAGTCTTTCAAAAATTTCAACCAAAAGCCTTACCCTAAGAAGGGTACAGACACCAAAAGAGAGAAGTGTCTGAGATTCCTGGAAGTCCACAAGGAACTTGTAGACATGTACCATCAGGTTGAGGTAAAGCTGATGTCCCACTTTGGATGACCTACCTGTTCTTTCTTCAGCAGTCTCATGGGAGGAGGTTGGTCATTGTTCTGCTAAATAGGACAGTTGCTCGTTAATTATGCTTTCAGTATAATATTTTTGATAACCTCACTATTTATTTCCTTTCTTTTAAACACATGAGTTTTGTAAATGGATGAAAGAGTAATGAATTACTATCAATTAACAATGTTAACCAGTTTTTTTTTAACATTTTTAATCTGTATTTTTTGAGCACTCCTTTAGCCAGAAGCAAGCAACATGGTTCAAAGTGCACTTTCTCCTCTGCAGAGGCAAGTAGGTACAATCTAACCACTTCAGGCCTACATGAGATCACCTTAAAAGCTAAACAAAACACAGGCATTATATTAGGCATTACGTTCAGCTATACAGCCACTTCTCATAGACATCAGGGCTGGAAGGGACCTCGGAAGATCATCTCCATTCTGGAGATGCAGAAGCCCTGGAAGGGAGAGATTACTCCTTCCTATAGAACCCCTCTTTCCAACAAGAGCATTTCATTTAGAACTGACATGAGATGCAGAATTTGAGCTATTATTTGTAATAGTGCCTCTGCTTTGTAAATTCTTTTTGTCCCGTCCCACCCTGCCTCTCTTTTGGAAGGAAAAGAAAACCAGTATAACACAAGAAAAGAATTATAGTATATGAAGAATAATCCAGCCTTTTCAACTAGTGAAGACATATGAAGTAACTAACTAAATGCCTTAGGATTTTCATCCTCTGTCAGTTTCTGATTATACAAAGCACTTTCTTTTCCTAGCTTATGTGAGCAGATCTAGTCAGTTTCTTGTAACTGACATATCACCTACATGTTTGGAATAATAAAGCCTCTTATAGCATTTAAATAGTTTGTATGTTCTTTTTACATGATTTTAGTCTCCTCAATGTTAACCAAGCTCTTATAAAAGAAAGATTATCCACCAAGCTTGGGCCCTGTGAAACCATATTACATTGCCTGTTCCACCACAGATGTCCTGTATAACTTTAGACAATTGACTCAATTTCTGTTCTGTAAAATGCAGATAAAAGTACATCCCCATCTCAGAAGGGATATATATATATGAAAGGTGAAAGATTGTGCAGCCTACTTTATTACAGAAGTGAGAACCAAAAAGGGGCTATAGACTGCTTCTAGCATGTTGCAGCTGTCATTATTTGCCCTATTCTTTGTATCTGCTCCATCTGTAGCAGGAAGCCAACATTTTTTTCTCAACAGTAAGATTTATTTTTATTAAGATCAAATGGACTCTTAAGTTACTGGAGTTAGTCATCCTAAAGACTTTTGCCATATAGATCCAGTAAAATGAAAATATGAAAGATTTCATATTTTCATTTTACTGGTTAGGAGGCTTACACCTATATGTAGAACTGGACAGTTTTCCATATGCCTTAAATAGATGGACATTCCCATCCCACATGCAGGAAGAGGCCTTTCCTACCACTTGCTAACCACAATGTATCAGATAATCTCTCTAATTAGGGTGCAGTTACACATTACACTTAGATCATACTCAATTTGTGAATGTAAAGCAGTGTTAAAGATAGAACATGCTACATACAGTTGCAAGTTAAGGGTTAATACCATTTGTTGCCTGCACAGCTCTGACTTCCCACTACAGGGGGTGGGTAGAAGCAGGGACACCTGGACTCTATTTCTAGTCTGGAAGGGGAAGGGGGCAGGAAGCAGTGTATCCTGGGATGCTAGAGGAGACTGCAAATTACTTGTTTTATCTCTGTGGAGCAGGCTGAAGTTACCCTAACATGAGCAAGTCAGCACAGCCTGGAGTTAACTTGCACTTGAAGTGGTACAACTTTGAGATGCTCAGATGGCACTTATCACAAGTTAACGAGTTTTAACGTGCCCTTGAGCTTTAAATGCCTTTAGTATCATCTAAATGTAACATGTAACTTCACCCTAATGTCTGATCAAATTGTTCCAGTAAGACATACATTCAAAGCAGTTTTTAAATTTGAGCCTCTAAAAACATTGGGACATTTATGGTATGTTGCTGAAGAGCCAAAAACGGTGGGGGTCACTGGTAAATAATTAACACAGCCCTCTCAAAGGATCACTTTTTCTTCAATTTTTAACCAACTCTCAAGCAAAATCCTGCCAATATAGGAGTTCATATCCATTTGTTAGGAAAGATTAGAAGAGAGTCCATTACTACCCTGGCTCCCCCACATCCCCCATTTTCCTCTATGATTTCACATACTTTATTGTTTCTGCTGTGAAATAATTGTGCTTGGGCTTTACTGCTGTCCTCTATTGACCTCCACTGGAACAGCCAGTATTTATACACTCACCTGAGCTGCTTCTATCTCCTTCCAAAGGGTGCCCTCAGATAAACTGTCCCAGTTGTCTGTGCTACAGTTGTGAGTTCACATGCCTAGCTCTCTTTTGTCTTAATCGCCAATCATTGTTTTCCATTTTAGCCATAGGCTTTTCAGCTTTTGGTTTTGCTTTGTCTCACTGCCCCCCCCCCAGCTTTAAATATTTTATATAAGTATTTTCTTCTACTACATTTTGGGGATAAAAGATCATTAGAAAGCTTGATTAGCACATTCTATATATATAGCTATCTAGGAAATGTCACTGTTTAGAACCTTTTAATTAATCAATAGTTAAATCCTTCCAAAGCCGCTTTTTTTAAAGAACTATTAAATTTCTGCTATACCAGTCCACCAAACATGAACACAAAATTATTCCATGACAATAATGCTATACAGTATTGATTTAACTTACTTATTTCTTCAGACTCTTATAACTGTTCTTTCTTAATCTCATCAAGAGATTATTCCTCCAGTACAGACTCCTCAAAATCTGCAGTTTGTTTATCCAAACACTTCTTTCATCAAAGTCCTAGAAAATATATTTGGCTTTCTTTGAAATAACATTTTAGCAGAATAGAAAATTACCACCTAAGCAATTTCCTAAAAAATTATTGTTTCAGAGTGGCATTTCACTGCAATCTATGAATCATAAATAACAGCTAAGGAAAATTACAGTAGTATTATTGTTGGTGATTTGGTCAAGAAAAAGGTTTTGATTCTGGAAGAACTCAATTCTTTGAGAGAGTTACAACTACCATACTAATACATATTCCATACTATATTTTAGCTAATCAAACTGGCTTATCAATTAGATGTGGTAATATGCATTTAGTTTAAAGGATTCCTATAAAAATATATTTTCCTCCATTAATTTATTTATCCTTAGGTTACGTGTTATTTCATGCTGCTGTTAGAAATTTTTGGTTCCAGATATAGACAGCTAGATGTTTTCCTTAGCGCAACTAGTAAGTACTACATTAAGATTCTCTTTATATTATCTCAGATCTCCATGCCTTCAGGGTTATCTTCCTCAGGTATTTTATTTTCCACTTCTCTAATTTGTATTTATGAACCTAGTTCCTATTTTGGTTCTGTTATTTGCAGTAACCTCAACTTTGAGAAGCAAAGATTATAATAGCAAGATCCAGACCTGCTTATCCTCCTATTGAAGCAAGCAGAAAGACCATGCAATTAAAACTGTCTTTGCACTGTCTTTGTATCAGACCCTTATTTGCTTAGCCAGTCCTTGCAGCTGTGCTACATAAAATCCGCTGACGAATGATTCACTGTAAACCCACCAAACAACCTCAACCGTTCTGATAAGATTTGCTTCCTACACTGGTGTTCTTAACCTCCTCTAAAATGTACTGTTAAAGATATGAAATGAGTAACATTGCTTTCTACTGATATTCAAACAATGAATGTTAAATGTAAAAAAAAGAATGTACTGTTTGTACTAATCATGTCAGATACTGTAATTTGATTTTACTACACTTCAGTTTAAGACTTTGCAGGGCAAAAATGAAATTTAAATTCCACTTAAAGTATCAAAAAAGCTTGAGCTCAGCTTAACCATAATTTTTCCAGTGAGAGGAATCCTGAATCAGCATAGCTGATAAATCAGATTCACTTTCATTACAATAATAAGCAATATGAAACCAAATCAGCAGGCCAACTAATTGCATATGAATAGGTTCAAC